TTATTACAACACATATGACTGCCAAGAAATTTTCAAGATTAGAGTTGTAGGACACACAGCAATCACGTAACCAGTAGTAAACCTGTTTTAAGGCAGTATGTGTTTTAAAACTCTTCACTAGTACAAAATCCAGTGTAAGAGAAAAAACCACCACAAACACTACTGTCTTTGTTGTAACAGGCACCCTTCTACTCTCCCAGCCCTAGTGTTTGCCTTGTCTTGGCATAAATACCAGATCCTTTTCACACCTTGTCTTTATGTATCCCCCAGCAGAAGTCGAGCAGGGGAGGCAGACAACCGTCATGGCTATGCAAGGATCTGAAGCTTAAACTGAGAGAAAAGAGGGAAATGTACAGAAAGTGAAGGCAAGGTTGTGTATCCTGGGAGGAATACAGGGCTGTTGCCTGTGTGTGTAGAGATAGGATTAGGAAAGCCAAGGCACAGATGGAGCTGAACTTGGCAAGGGATGTGAAAGATAGCAAGAAGGGGTTCTACGGGTACATAGGCAGGAAGAGACAGGCCAAGGAGAGTGTTCCCCCTCTGATGGAAGGTAGTGGGGAGCTGGCTTCCTCAGACACAGAAAAAGCTGAGGTTCTCAATGAGTGCTTTGCCTCAGTCTTCACGGGTGGTCAGGCTTCCCATGTCTGCCAGGACCGTGAGCCTTTAGGTGAGGGTGTGTGGAGTGGTTTCTGTCCCACTGTAATGGTGGAACAGGTCCAAGTCTTCCTCAAGAAACTGAACGTGTGTAAGTCAATGGGGCCAGATGATATCCATCCTAGGGCTCTGAAAGAGATAACTTATGTGGTTGCCGACTTGCTCTCATCTTATTTGAAAAATCATGGCTGTCTGGTGAAGACCCTGGTGACTGGAAAAAGGGAAACGTTACTCCCATTTTTAAGAAGGGGAGAAAGGAAGACCTGGGGAACTACAGGCTGGTGAGCCTCACCTCTCTCTGTTCCTGGGAAGATCATGGAGCAGATTCTCCTAGAAGCTATGTTAAGGCACATATGAGATAAAGAGGTGATTCGAGACAGCCAAATAGCTTCACCAAGGGCAGATCTTGCCTGACCAATCTGGTAGCCTTCTATGATGGAGTGACGGCTTTGGTGGACTGGGGAAGGGCAGTGGATGTCATCTGCCTGGACTTCTGCAAGCCTTTGACATGGACCCTCACCACATAATTCTCTCTAAACGTGAAGTGAGGATTTGAAGGATGGACTGTTTGATGGATTAGGAATTGGATGCCTGGTCGCAGCCAAAGGGTTGTGATCAATGGTTCTGTGTCAGGGTGGAGGCCGGTCACAAGTGGTGTCCCTCAGGGGTCTGTCTTGGGACCGGTGCTCTTCCACATCTTCATCAGTGACATAGATGATGGCATTGAGTGCACGCTCAGCAGGCTTGCGGATGACACCAAGCTGAGTGGTGCAGTCGATACATTGGAAGGAAGGGAAGCCATCCAGAAGGACCTGGACAGGCTGGAGAAGTGGGGCCATGAAAAGCTAATGAGGTTCAATAAGGGCAAGTGCAGGGTGCTATGCTTGGGTCGGGGCAATCCCAGGTATTTATACAAGCTGGGGGAAGATCTCCTTGAGAGCAGCCTTGCGTAGAAGGACTTGGGGGTCCTGGTGGATGAGCCAGCAGTGTGCGCTTGCAGCCCAGAAGACCAACTGTGTTCTGGGCTGCAATAAAGAAGGGGTGGCCAAAAGGGAGAGGGAGGTGATTTGTTCTCCTTTACACAGCTCTTGTGAGCCCCCATCTTCATTACTGTGTCCAGGCCTGGGGCCCCCAGTACAGGAAGGATGTGGAGTGCTTGGAGCGGGTCCAGAGAAAGACCATTAAGGTGATCAGAGGGCTGGAGCACATCTTCTGTGAGGAAAGGTTGAGGGAATTGGACATGTTTAGCTTGCAGAGGAGAAGGCTCTCTGGAGACCACATTATAGCCTTCTGGTACTTGAAGGGACCATATAAACTGGAAGGAGAATGACTATTTATGAGGGTAGATTGTGATAGGACAAGGGGGAATGATCTTAAGCTGAGACAGGGGAGGCTTAGGTTAGATATTAAGAGGATGTTTTTCACACAGAGGGTGGTGACGCACTGGAACTAGTTGCCCAAGGAGGTTGTGGATGCCCCATCCCTGGAGGCCTGGGAAGCCTGGTCTGGTGATTGATGACTCTGCACATAGGAGGGGGTTGAAACTCGATGATCATTGTGGTCCTTTTCAACCTAGGCTATTCTATGATTCTATGATAATATGGTTTGTGAACTACAGAGGCAGGCTAGCAATCTCGTTAGGGAATCAGACATATTTATCTGAAGACTTCTACAGAACCACTAAGTTAGCACATTTTTCTCCATTAAGGCAGTGTATCTGAGGGAAGGATCTTTACCAGTTATTGCTTCAGATGAATCCTTCCCAACTGCACAGACAATTTGGAGATGCAAAGTTGCATCTATTTCATTTGCATATTGTGTCCTGGAGATTATTTGGGTAAGATCTCTAAACAAGTTGAAACTGTCTAAACCTAGAGGATATGATGAAACTCTTAAGCCATTTTAATCAAATTTCAGAGTTTTGCAGTCAAAAATTAGATGAACAGTTGTAGTGAGTATGGTTAATGGCAGAAGAGAGAAGAGTCAATCTCTCCCCTGGGCCACTCTAATATCTTTGTGTAGTTAGTTCCTTTTTATACCTCTTAAAATACAGCATAATGCAGATTGCAGATGAACAGCCTTCTGCTCCTTGAAATATCTCCTTGAAAGTGTACCAATTATTTGAGATGAATGCTGACACTCCAGCCAACTTTATTGTACCTTGTATCATTCAGTTCTCCAAGTAGACCTGGGTCTAGAGAAGTGCAACTGAGGATTTTTTACTAAAAACTACTTCTAACATCTACCTTTAACAACTGTTTGTATGAAGCCTTCTTTGCTTTCTGGCTCAAAGCTTGCTTGCTTGGTATTTCTTGTGATAAGATTCTAGGAGATGAGAGATGGGTGTTGCTGTGTGGCAATCAACATCACTGTGAGGACAATTTTACATTTGAAAGCATTTCTTTGGAGCTGTTTACCTTCGGAAGAGAGTGCTCAGGACTTTTTACTGGCAGAAGATCTAGCCTGTGACCAAATAACTCCTGTTTGCTATGGGAGACTGGGGGATGATGCCATTGTATCCTGTGAAGGCAAGATACAAGTTGGCACCTCCCTGTTCCCTTTTATCTGCTGACAAGGACCGGAAGATAGGAACTAAGGAGTTTCCTGCTGAGATCCCAGAGCCAGAAGCTGCCACTCCACAGAGAGCTGACTCAACCACTTTGGAACCACTGAAAAGGGGCCATCATCGCCATGGTCACTGTCATCATCAACAGAACAACAATGTCCAACGACCCAGCACTACTGAAGATCAAAGACCGAACTACGAACTGCCACACTGGATCCATGGTGGTGACTACCTTCTTCTTGCTGCCTACAAAGACTCCTTGCTTCTTCGTTCCCATCCTTTCTGTTGCCCTCCTTCCTTTCCCCATTATCCTAATTCATAATAGTGTCCATCCTCCCCTAGCCCATCTCCCTAATTAAGATTTGTAATAAACTCGTCAGACCAACATTTGAACCGTTGTTTCTTAATCTCATGCCTGGTATATAGATATTAAAAGAACCTCCTCTCCCTCCTACAAAAAAGACACTATTGCAAAACAAGTCTGCCTATACCTACTACCTAGACTGGGTTTGTGTGCAGTAAGCATTAACATTTTAAGCAGAGGTACAAAACCCAAGGTGTGCTCCAGGGAATGGAATGGACACTGCTTGGCCTTGGCAGATACTCTGCATATGTTTTTGTAATCCTCTGGTCCAGTACGCCAGGCTAATTGGGATCCCCAAACAAACTTTTGTTTGAAAGCTATCTATTCAATGACCTTGTCAGGCTTTAGTTGGATTCTGCCTTGAAAGAGGGCTCCCCTGGAATGAGGGGGTACCTATGCCATTCAGACTGCAGAAAGATTTTTAAGTAGGCATTTAAATGACAACATGGAAAAGCCTCCTGAGATGCTAAAGGAAAGGAGCTGTGATCTCCTTCATCAATTCTATCCGGAAATGAAGAAGATTTTGGCATTGAAAAGGCATGAAGCATCATTTTAAAACTTCCCTCTGGGATTTTGGTTGTAAGCAAATGACCATCAGCTTTAATATCTAACATGGCAGCAAGTATATGCCTCTTATTCTGTGTGCGCAGCCATGCCACAGTATTTTTTTCCTGATGCAAAACAAGTGAACACACAGAAAGGTGGAAAAGTTGCCAATTTATTGCTAGAGAAGTTTTAAGAATTTTTTGCTTTGCAACATAAAATCAAATACTTTTAAAAAAGAATAGTAATTATAAACTTGTTTCCCACTTTGCATTTTGATCTCATAAACATGAAATGGCCTGAGGGCCAAACTATCAAATAGGTATGGTAAGTAGCTTATAGCATTCAAAAGATTAAATAAACAAAAAAGCACCCCAAGCAAACAAAATATGTGTCTTAAGATTTAAAAAAAAAATAGTAATAAAAGCAAACTTCAGAACCTACTCTTAAGAAGCATCTTTTATTTGCTAACTTGGTTTTCATAAGAATGATGCATCCCAGACAATAGTAATTACAGTCTCAAATAAGTATATCCCTCAGTTTGGATTGTATTTGCCCTGTCTTTCTTAACATCTTATTTTCACCATTTTGTCCAAATTACCCTCCTCCATAAGAGTTTACATTTATTGAAAAATAAATAGACATTTCTAGGTAATACAGAAGTAAGATACTAAATCTGTAATTTCTTTTGCAGAACACTGGAACTCCTGCTTTCAGGTCTTCCATAACACTACTAAAGACAAGATCTCTTTTACAGCATACAGAGTACAGAGTGGTGGTTAGTGGAAACTGGGAATCAGCATTCTGCAACTCCTTTAATCTAAATGTTTCAAAAACACAGAATAATTGTTAATTCTCAATCAAACCAAAACATATGAAGAGTTTTCCAGCATTTTTATTAATATCATTATTCTGCTTCAGTTACAAATTCTAAGAGCCAAAGCAGGACAAAATGTATTTTTGTGTTAATTACATACTATTGGGTAAAGATTTCTGTTAAGAAAGGACTGAAAATTTGAAAAAACAAACAAACATAAAGAGAGTAAATGGATGAAGCCTTAAAAAGGGAATAAAAACATCATGAAGCCAACAGAGAAAACAAATAGTACTACTTCAAAACAGAAACAGTTACCTATCTTTTTGGTATGTCTACACACACACATCTGGGCTTGATCTATTTTCTGTGTGGTACATAGCTGTTAGTGAGGTTTGGCACCTAGCCTGACCACACCAAAGAAAGAACTGCAAGTCCCAAAGAAAGCATCTTAGAATCATAGAATCATAGAATCACCAAGGTTGGAAAAGACTAAAAGATTATCCAGTCCAACCGTTCACCTATTACCAATAGCTCCCACTAAACCATGTCCCTCAACACAACATCCAGCCTTTCCTTGAACACCCCCAGGGTCGGTGACTCCACCACCTCCCTGGGCAGTCCGTTCCAGTGCCTGACCACCCTTTCTGAAAAGTAATACTTCCTCATGTCCAGCCTGAGTCTCCCCTGCCATAGCTTGAAACCATTCCCTCTGGTCCTATCACTAATGACATGAGAGATGTCAAGATGATAATGAGATAATAATGAGAGATTACAAGATGATAATCTTGTAATTAAATAGTTTTTTTTGTTTGTGGTTTTTTTTTTATTATTTTTTTTTCCTACAGTGTCTGATTAAGAATAATGTGGAATAATGTGGGTTACCACAGGAAGCTTCCACGTTCCAATAGGTGACGGACTGGATCCCTCAGCTTGACAGGAAAAGCAGGATGTGGTCACATGTGAATCACTGAAGATCAAAGGCATACGTATAGGTGAGAAAGTGGGTTACCTCATGAAGAAGCACTTTGATCAGGAGGGAGATGGTTGTATCTCTTGTGGGCACAAGTTAATGTTTTGTCTGTTGACAAATGGATCACTTGAAGCTAATGATCTATTTGTAAGAAAGCAATTACAAGTTACAAAAAGAAAATGCCTTGTCATGGTGACTGAATGTGATGAAAGCTATTAACAATCATTCGATGTAAAACTTCATCTTATACCTTGCTCTTTATCTGTGGCGCATTATACTGTAAATTCAAATTTTAAATATTCAAAGTTAAAACTATTCTTTAGGTGTGACTAGGATGACCTCTGCACAAAATCCATACAGCTACGTTGGCAATAGCAGAAACTTTTAAAACAATGCTGAGAAAATCCACCAAGTGAATCGAGTATCTTCTCATCTACCCTTGAGGGAAGAATACAGCATAAACTTAGGAAGCGGTAGATTGCCAGACCATGATCTAAGAAGACAACATAGGGGTACCAAAATGGGATCAAGTAGTCTGAGAGAGTAGAAGAACCTGCAAACTTGTTTGTTTTCCTTTCTTCAGAGATGCAAGTTGGCACTGTTACTCAGTAAAAAAAATAACACCAGAAAAGGCTTAAAGAATTTCCAAAGCTGTCTTTCAAGCTGTCTGATTACAGTAATTTCTGATTCTTTTCCATTCATCTTTAATATATTTCATATGCAGTACAAGAACAGAACAACCTCCTCATTAGATATGTAATTCTGTCATCTCAATTTTATATTTCAGTGGCTGAAGACTGTGTACCTCTGAGCCACACTTAGGACAGGTAAAATACATATCAAGTAAATAGTTACTTTTAATACAGTAGTAACAAAACACATGTGAACAGCCTATGGTATGTGGCATGGTAGGCCATTCCCCACACAGTGAACACACCTTGTAGTGAGCTGCTAATGTTTTTTCACTATTAGAAAGATTGGCAATAGGCAAACACCAAGAACAAATTTTGAGTTTCAGTTTCTGTACATTAATAAGTGGCAGCAAGTAGATCAGAAATTCAGCAAAGCCATGCCACAACAGCTCCCTGTTCATGTATTCAAATCCTACCTGGCGAGCATTCTGTGGTTTGCAAAAAACTGACTTAATTCCTAGAATGCGTTCAGTAAGTGTTGCAAATGTTCCTTTCTGAAGAAAAATCAGAAAATTTACAAGTCCGCAAATTTTAAGAAGTCCAGCTCCAAAATTAATATATTGCTTGATTTTGCTGACAGATTGCAGTTGGCGATTGCTAAAGAAATCATAACATCTTTCCTCCAGCCATCTTCCACCAACAGTGAAAATAAGATACCATAACTTCTGGTGTTTGCTCAGAGGTTGGTATTTCTCTGTCTGAGATAAGTTATTCTTGTACTGAATATTCAAAATAGCCTGTCCCACAGTTGCATTCTTAGAATAGATGGTGAATCTCCACAGTAAAAGCCACAGAAATGCTTTAACTTCTGGTTCAATATGAGCCAACACCCCTGGTTTAAATCCATGAAAACAGCTGGTAAACTGGGACCACACTAGTTGTTCCAGAGCTTTGTTTAGTTCAAGAGCATCAAGTTGACTTATTCTGAGCACAGGATTCACACTCTTTTCATTTTCAATGCTGGATGCCATTTCTTCTCGAAAAAATACTTTCTAGGAATAAACACAAATACATTTTAGTATAACATAGCATTTCCCATTTTTGTTCTTGTTACAGCTAACAAAATCAGGAGTAAACATGAAATAACAAAAATGCCTCCTAAGTTATTAATATGCTATCAGGAACTACTATCAGTCCTTTCAGCAAGATTCATACAAATAGCATACACTTGCCTCTTGAAAGAACTTACATCGAGACTATTTCTCATTGGCAGTAATATTTTTATTTGGTTATAGAGAACTGTGTAATCTCCTCTTGATTTTCACAAAACATTACAAATTTAACATTTCACTGCTGTAAACTGAAAAAAAAAGTAAAGTTATGTGCTTAAATACTCACATGGGCCTTAAAACAAAAAAAAAGTAAAACTGTAAGACATTTAATGGAAAAATAGGGAAAATTTGCATACAGATTAAAATCTATGTAGGAAGGAACAGAGGGTTTGATAGATAATATTGGTCCACAAATACTTCAGTAGTTGCAGCTTAAAGTAAAATCTTAGAAATAGAATTTTTTAAATATATTTTCTATTAAAAAATAGAAATATTAAAAAATGTACAGACATACATTTTGTACGTACAAAAAATAAGGGTGGAATACAGAAATGATAAAATCTGCTAAATAAAGGCAGTGATTTGTTTAGTTCATTACATAAAATTAAAAAAATACTCAGTATTCAACCACAAATTAACACACAATATAATACAGAAGCTAGCATATATTTTTGAGAGTCTTTGATAGGTACAGAACTGTGCTAATGGTTGGATAATAAGTTTCCTGGCAACTTCAACAAATGTATACTGGTATTATTCAAGCATTACGGACAAATATAATGAATTGCAAGACTAAAATGTAGTTAACAACTCCATAATACAAAACTACAAAGTAACTGATTTTTTTTTTTTTTTCTTCTTTTTTTTTTTTTTTCTACATAAATAGGGGTTTATGAGAAGGGGTATATTTCAGGTAGCGTGCAGTGTATTTCAGCTTCTAAAGGAGATTCTTTGTATAGCAGATAGACAACAATCTTCTGAAAAAAGTACAAAAGAAGATGCTTCAATTTCTATTTGTAGGAGGAAAACCTGCTATAACAATAATTTGAATAACTGATGCTGTATAAATTCCATATACGAAAGGCTGCGAATGATACTAAGAATATAAAAAAGTCCCCCAAACCATTAATCTTGTCCCCAAACAGTACACCAAAGGTTTTAAAACCCAGTATAAAACACTTTCTGCATTATTTTTTTTTTCTCTACACCTATAGAAATATGACCTACAACTGGTAATGTTCTTAAGGAAAATTCTGTGCAAAGGTCACAGGAAATACAATTTTTTTTTCTTAATGTATGCGGTACAACAGTGGTTTCCAATTAACTAAGACTGGATACTTGGGTAGAGCATGGGATAGCCCACTTGATTTCTCTAAATCCTTCCATCCTCATTAGCAAGCAAAATATGACTGAAGTTAGCATAAGGCCACCCGCCCTGTGCCATCAACCTCCTTGACATGCTACCATATGAAAGTATACCAAGCCTGAGTCACACATCTGTCTTTTCTGTAATAAGCCCTGATGCATTGGATGTTTGCTTGGAAAGCGCTATTCAGTATCACAATAACTTACCTCCTTCACTTTGCAGTCTTGGGAACAATCCCCACTGTACCTTGTCGTAATTCTTCAGTGAGTCCAACCACAGTGACTACAAACCCTATTACCCTGTATTTCTTACCTCACTACCATTTTAGGAACCCCAGTCTCTGACCGTCTGCTCTAGAACCTATCCCTTCAGTCCCATTATTTATTTATTTATTTGCAGCCCCTAAAATCTAACACCTTCTTCACTTCTTCTACCTCAGTCCCCCCTACTCATTTCATTCTCATCTAACCATTTCAGCTATTCTTTCATTCTTATTCTACACAATTTCCAACACATGTAAACCTCCTTCAAAACCTTACATTGACTGAAAATAGCCATCTCATCAAACAACTCCTATGCCCACAGATTATCCATTAAAACTATTTGCTATCAGCTCAATTATTTTTTCCAGTTGTCTGCCACTACTCGAAGTGCTATGAGTACTTCTTTTGTATATTAAATATAAATAAGTAGCCTAACAGCAGATTTTTTTTCCATTTGTGTGGCAAGATTATTCAAAGAAACCTGAGTAAGCACAGTATAACTTAACAGGAACTTCCTGAAGTTCAAGGAAAACATGCCAAACACATATGAGCACAACAGATCACAAAAGACACATGAAAACCTACATGTAACTATAGTCCAGAGGCAGATCGATGGGATGGCTGCTTTGAGAAAAAAAGGACCCCCGAATCCTGGTAGGGAGCAAGCTGAAAACAATCACCAGTGTACCCTCACAACAGTAATGCCTGGTAGACTGCAGACTGACTGAAGGATGTGCTTATTCCCCTCTGTTTGGCATTGCTGGCTTTACACTGGCATCCAGTTTTGCCTCTTTTCTATCACCAGTAAAAGAGAAATGTCAACAAACTGAAAAGAGTTTAGACACTAATATCATTGGGGATCCCCAATACATGATATATGAGGAGAGCCTGAAAGAACTCAGATTGTTTAACTTGAAGACAAAGTAGCTAAAAAAGCAATTTAATTGTTATCTTTCACTATCTAAAGGTTACAGAGAAGATTAAGTCAAACCTTTCTGAGAGATGCACAATGAAAGAAAAAGAGGCAATTGGTCATGTCTTGCAATATGAGAAATTCTTACCAGACATAAGGAAAAAACCGTCTTCATGAGAGGAGTTAAGTACTAGAACAGTTTGTCTAGACCATAGTGTCCAACCTTTTGGCTTGTGTGGGCTGTGCTGAGTGAAGAGGAATTGTCTTGGGCCACACATAAAATATAGTTAATGTATGTAATAAGTAACAAAACTTACTTTGTCTTTTATTTTTTTTTTTTATTAAAAGATGAGAGCAACAAAAAACATTAAACTTGTGGAATATCTCATCTTGCTTTTGCGAAACACTAATCAAATATATATCACAAAACTAATTAAAAACATCACAAATTATTTTATGCTTTGTGAGCTTTTAAAGATACTGAAAATCATAGTTTGTCAGCATGACTATTCAGCATATTTCTTCTAGACTGCATATGTCACAAGACAATGTTTAAATGGGCAAAACAGTTTAAAATATTACTGTCTGTAATCACTATATTGTACTCGCCAAGTGGCACAAGTGCACATAACATGTAATGCACATGGGTATCTATCTATTCAAGTGAGCATGTGGGATGGGTGCAAGAAGCAGTTATCATGCACTGTACCCTCCCCTCTGTAATATTTTGTTACCCCTTATGCAGCCCATGTTTGGGCTACATGACATTGATTGCATTGTGATTATCTCTGTAAATGTAGGAGGGATGCTCCAGAAGTAATGCATCTCCTTTTACTGTGTTGGCCAGTGACATCAGAGGCAGGTGTTGGTGGTATGCCAGTTGAGGTTGGATCTTCCCAGCGATATTCCTTCAGATGTTGCTGCCATGTGACAGATGGCAGCAGACACATTTGACAAAGTGGCATCTGACATGGAAATCCATATGAAGGAAAGCTGTGTAACTGAATTCCTTTGTGTGGAAAAAATGGTACCCATTGACATTTACTGACACTTGCTGAATGTTTCTGGAGACCAAACAGTGTGTGTGAGCCCTGTGAGCTGGTGGGTGGTGCATTTCAGCAGTGGTGACAGTGGGCCAATCTCTGCAGGTGCAGATGTTTCTGAGTGCTGCATGCAGGCTCTTGTTCACCACTGGTGAAAATGTACAGAAAACAGTGGTGACTGTTTTGAAAGACAGGGTACTGTAGCTGAGAATTTGGTCAATCACACACTCTTATTGTGCTCACTGTATCTGTTGTAGTTTCCATAGAAACATATAGAAGGCATTAGTTTCAGAACAGCATACATATTAATGTCCCTGACATTTTATAGAAGGAAATAACTTCAATGAGCTTAACTGTTAGAGTGGGACTAGATTCTGTTTACAGAAAATTGAAGCCTCTTTTGAACCAAAGATCTAACTACTGTTTGTCAATCTTCAAATTTTTCCCAAATCCAACAAGTCTCCTTTCCTAAAATTAGAAGCAGTAGTATATATACTACTTATGTTACATTTAATGCTCCTGAATTACCAACTAGCATTTTTATTCAACTACAAATCACTTTTATGCAAACTATGAAGAAGGAAGGATGACAAGCAGAAACATAAGCAGGAAATTAAAAATATATATATATATATCTTTTAAAATGCTTTAAGTTATGCTTATCTTACTATATGTAGAAAACTTACTTTCTGATCAACAGGTAGACACGAATTCTCAATGTAGGCAATACAATTAGACATAATTCCCAGTCTTTCTGATTGCTGCTAAGCATAACAAGTTTGCCATAGACCATGGCTGTTAACAAGACCCTGTGAGTTACTTAAAGATTATATCCATATGGCTTTAACACATAACCCATTTTAGAATACTTACTGTTACACACATGCTGAAGTACTGTGCTGTAGACTATATTTGCTTCTGAACTGATTTAAGATTTTACTGCACCGATATGGAAGATTTTCCACCTGAGACACATTACCTATTTACTTCAAAAACACAAACATTTAAAGGGAAAATTTAAAATCTGTATTCTCCTATGAAAAATATTTTCAAAATGCCCTACTGATTTGGATACCATAAACTACTTATTTCAGAGAAGACGCATGAATTCTGTCTTTTTCCCTATTTTCTAGGGAATTTTCATTCTATTCGGTATCTATGATGTCCATTTCTTTAAGTGATGATAATTATAAAATAACTAAAAAAAGTTTCATTTTTTACTACCTCTCAAAATTCTATTAGATTTTTCATTTTGTATTGATTTCACAAATTCTGGTCCATATGAATAAATGAGAAATCTGTCCTCTGTTCTAAAACATAATACCAGAAACACACACTGTAAGCATCAGCTTGTT